TGGCCTGTTGCGTTGGGGAGGCAAAATGGTTGGTTCATGGTGGTGGAAAACAATTTCGATTGGCTTGAAAAACAAAAAACTGTTAGCTGTGGCAGCAGCAATAACGCTAGGAAAACACAAACTCGGACAATAACCCCATTTCTTCTCCTTTATTCAACACTGGCAACTTGAACAAGTTTGTTGCTCAAGACTTTTGGTTTATTTATTTTTATTTTTGATAAAAAAAATCGAATGATTTTGGCAGCCTGTTAATAGGGGCCTTCGCATCAGGGGATATTACGAAAGTAAATAAATGAAAGAAAATTGTTGATACAAAATCCAATTTATAATCAATTAAAATTTGAAAGAAATATTTTATTGGTATTTTGCGAATTTGAATTTGCGAATTAAATGAATAAAACTCAAGATCCTGTTTAAATTATTCAACTCGTGATACAATATTTCTTATTAACATAGTTGCAATAACTTTAGATTTTTTTTGTTTTGCAAATTTTTATTGCGTTTTATTCAAAGAATGGAAGACTGCAGATACTAAATCTGGTTCTTCTAGTTACAGATAAAACATGGGATGGTATATAGACCTACATGTATATTTGTATGTCTGCATGTCATCACACGTTTTGTCTATTGTGATGCAATAGAAACTGATTAATTCTAGATTAAACGAGTATGGGAAGAGAAATTGAATAACAGAAAATTTTTATTTGGAGAAATGTAATTAGATGAGGATTTTTCTTAAGGTGGGCACTTACTTGGTTGACTTAAGTCATCGGCTGGCTTTTTCGGAAATGAACAAAGTAGCCTAGGAAGAAAATCGAACTAAGTCAACCTAAAACTCCTTAGTTCTTCTTCTAAGGAGCCAGTCGATGACTTAAGCCAGCCAAAAAAGATCTTTATGTACTTCCACCCTTAGAGATTCAGAATTTTATACGGAAAAATTATTTTACAATGTACTGGCTTAAGACATCGGCTGGCTTTTTCTATAAAATAAGAAAGGGACGTAGGGTGAACAAGTTTAAATTATGAGACGAAATTGAACCGAATCAGCCCAAAGGGGTGAATACATAAAACGCCTTTTTTGGCAAGAAAGGGAGTGTAGGGCCAAAATCGAACTTAGTCAATCTAAAACTCCTTTGTTCCTATACGAAGAAACCATCATCATACAACATCAAATTTGTGTCGTATAAGAAAACATATAAAAATCTACTTATTTTTGACAAAACATTTCAAAAATGTTGACATATCAATGTTCCCAAGTGTTGACGCATCAACCTATATTCTTATACCATGCTCTCATTTTAAAAGCCCTTTGTTTTTTTTTCGAAGAAGCCAGCCGATGACATTTATGTATCTACACCTTATGGCGTTCTATCATCTCTTCAGATAAGACTTATAGCGTGTTTACATATAATTTGTTTATACGATTAATCATGAGACTTAAGGTATGCTTTCAATGGTCAACTTTACTGTGATTGTTTAACCATCACGGTTAATCCAAACGAAAAATATGTGTGTAAACATAGTTTAAATAAGCAACATTTAGTTTTAAATGGAATTTCTATATGTCATGACGAATTTCCTCACGTTTTACAGAGTAAAAATTTCTTAGGTATACTTTTAATGCCGAAGATCGATAAAATGTTGTATATATTTTTTTCATAGTAACATTTGTTGTAATTGGTCAAATATCACGCTTAACACAGATACAAATATGAATGTAAACATACGTTTGTCATCGCTGACTTGTGAACATGGTAAAAGAATATAGGTAGACGAATCAACACAGCTGCTGGGACAATGAACTGTCAAACCAATTTTGGAATTGAAAATGTTGAATGAAAAATTATTTAAATTTGTAAAAATTATTGAAAACGCGAATTATAATAACCTCCGAAAGACGTCGTATAAGAAATCATGTAAAAATTTACTTACATTTGAAAAGACATTTAAACATTTTTGACATGCCAAGACATACCTGTATTCTTTACAATGCTTGTGAACGTAAACAATTGCCCAACAGCTGATTAACTCTTCACAGCATTGCCATATTGGAAAAATTAATTGCAGTATAAATTAAGCTTAAATATAGTTCAACGTGTGACGCGATTAAACGCATTAAATGCTTATTCTGCTTTGGTCTTTAATTTGAGTTAATAATGTTAATGCAAGTAAAAGACCTCACCGGTCCATGGCATTTGATTCTTGATTTGCCGTTTGGGTAAGCTGTATTGATCAGTACATATAGTTCGGTATGAACATGGTAGAATTAATTATTATATGTTTACAATTTGTTTTCAAAGTTATTTATTTGACAACATCTCATTTTCAAAATTAATATTTATACACAAATCAGAGATGGAAATCTGTTTTTATTCAGTGAAATTTGACAAACTAGATTCTAGAAAATGCAGAGATGGATAGTCTTATTTGAAATGACTTTACCTTCTTAATATTGCCAGGGTTACATATGAACTAAAAGAAACTTTCTGAAGTGAACTAGTTCAGCCGTTCATTTCAGTGAATCGATTTTTTATGATATCGATAAATATTACGAAACTTGTAAATTCTTGCTGGTTCTGGAACAGAGCAATAATTTGGCATTTGGGCAGGATATTCTTGGTTATATTCGTTTTGTCATTGTCTCCAATTTCCACTTTCCTCCTTTTTAGATACCTTCTGTTTAATACCTCCCAATACCTATTCCAAAATCTAAAGGCAACACTTATTGCACGTGACCAAATCTGGGTCAAACGACCATAATAGGCTCATCAAAATAATCATCATGGCAAATTACCAGAGCTGCTAACAACAAATTGCAATTGCAACTGTTAATACCAGCCACAATGATTAAGCATTAAGCATTTTATTTTATTTGCTCCACAAAAGGAAAAACAGACGAAGAGCAGAAAAAGAAACAAAATTATATGTTTTGTAATGGGAAAATTGAAGCCCAACAATTGTAAAATGCAACAGCAGTAGCTAGGGAACAACAAGTGTTTTGCCTGGTGGCGCCCGACTAAATGAATTGGCTCTATTGCAAGTAGTACGGATGCGTTACAATGAGACAGCCTTATTTCGACGCTACAAGAAAATGCTGCATCATTATTAACTGTCAAATTGCAAAGCATTATAATGATCATTGTCATAATGTTTATGATCATAATGAACATTGTTATAATGATCATCATCCTCACCAGCGATATTATTGTTTGTTACTCTAGACAGGTATCTGGCATTTATTGCCAGTGCTGAAGCCAGTTAATGGTGCAACACCACGCAACAGGAGAATGTTTTAAATGCTGGTTGTGTTACAGAAAGCAAAACAACAGCAGCAGAGAAGAAAAAAACTTTTGCAAGTTGCACAATTGTCCGATATTGCAACCACTTACACCACCAGCACCAACAATAAAAAATGCTGCGCAGCAACACTCTTTTGGGAAAATAAAACAAAACATGCAAAAAAACAAGCACTTCGATTTTTTTTTTTTTTAAACTGCCAGCTTGTTTTATTCCTCTCTCTCATTGATCGCTGTTGCAACTTTATATTGGCTATTTTCATTTTGGCTGGTGTTTCCTTCTTTTTCGAAAGTCTTTGTGTGGCTTTAAAGAAATCTGAGTAAATAGTCTTGAGATGTTGCCGATTAGCTAACAACAGTGGTTTAATAAAATTGTCATAGGTTAGCAATAAATCTGCATACTTTTTATGAGTGCCATAAAATTGAAAAGATTATTTATTGAAGACTTGCCATAAAGATTATGTTGATAGAGTGTTATTATTTCAATTAGATTTATTTGAATATTAATGGTTACTAATTTGAAGAATAATGGGTTATTTGTGACAGCAGTTCGATTCTATTAAAAAAAATATCACCGGAAAACAATCAATGGATAATGAGCTCTAGTTTTAGAAAAAAAAATATTATAAACGCTGGCATATCTTAGACAATTTTCTACGTCAACATCAAGTTGATCCGTAAAACCTAAATATTTTCATTCTTTTTGTTATATTTGCTATCAATTTTTATTTTATTCTATTTTCTCCTTAAACCGCTTTTAAACTTTGCAAACAAGTTAAGTTTAATATGACAAAAGTACCACTAGTTTACATTCATAAATATTTCGAAGCACCATATCGATCTATAATTCTCTGTATTTTTCCGTAGATGCCACATCATGTTGGAAGAATACAGATAGATGCTCAACGCTTGAACATTGATATGTCAAAATATTTACAATGTTTTTTTTTATGAGTTTTCTTATGCGACACGAATCGGATGTTGCTATAATTTGCATTTTTAACAACTTTTACTAATTTGAAAAATTTTCTATTAAAAATTTTGAATTTCGAAATAAGTTTGACGGTTTACCACTTTCGGTTAAGCGAAGCAACTCTTTAGCTCTTTTGAGTCTATTTCCTTTCAATTGCGGTGTAAGTTCTTGCACTTTTTGAATTTCAATGTCTTTACCTCGAGTTAATTTTTAATATTTGCCGAATGGAATATTGCGATATGTTCAGCTCACGAGCCATTTTCGGCCACTGCGACGCGGGTTTTGATCAAGTCGCTTTTTTACTTTTCGAACCATTTCTGCTGATGTTGCTGCTTTTATCCGTCCACTTCCTTGACTTCGGGCTACTCTACTATAGGCTATTTAGATTTCGGGTATTGGAGCGAAATCTTGTAATTTTAAAGGAAATTTCAGATTTCATATTGCAAAGGTTGTTTTTATCTACTCAATACTTAATTTTCAATTTCTGGCATTTCAAACTACCACCCACATATCTGGCTAATTTTTCTTTCCACACATGTATGTACCAAGCCTTTTAGCAGCTACAATCATACATTTATTACCTTTTGGGTGGGAGCTTAAGTCGCCAGTGGGTGATTTATCATTTTACCGCCCGCCTGTCGTTGCTTGCAAACCTTGCAATCCATTCATGTCTTCTTATATAACTATTAGCAAAACTAATAATCATTTATCTTTTCTTTTTCTATTTACAGCAAATCGTCTGAACTGACACCGGTTCAACAATACTACAAAGGCAAGACGGTGTTTATCACTGGTGCCTCCGGCTTCATGGGCAAAGTGTTGTTGGAAAAACTCTTGTACTCTTGCTATGAGCTGAAAGAGATCATTATGATCTGCCGTGCCAAACGTGGCAAGACACCTGAACAACGTTTGGAGGATATGTGGAAATTGCCGGTAAGTTTGTGGATTTGTGATTTTTTTGCATTGGATAACAACCGATTAGAGATCAATGAGGTTTATACACTGTTGTCGAGGTGGGGTAGAGAATCGATAGGTCATTCAATAATAGATTATTTTGTGATACTTGTGATAATTAGAAAAATGATAAGGCTATGTTCACACTTATGGGTGTATTAAAGCATGAGAGAAGAGTCATAAGAAAACAAAGCCTGAAATAAAGGTGAGAGTACATAAAAGGCTTTTTTGGCTGGCTTAAGTCAACGGCTGGCTTATTCCTAGAAGAACAAAGGAGTTTTAGGTTGACTTAGTTCGATGTTGGCCCTACGGTCCTTTGTTCTTTTCCAAAGAAGCCAGTCAAAAAATCGTTTTATGTATTCTCACCTTAAAAATCCGTAAGGAATGTAAACCTATCGTTTTCGAGGGAAGTTTTTATTTAAGAGAGCTGTTCGTGGATCCGTTCTTCTCATGGGAAACCAGGGTTTCTTTATTTATTTTACTGCGTAAACCTACTGTATTTAACAGATCTTGCATGTTGCAAAATGATACAGGTAGCCGCATCAACACTGCTGCTGGTACAATGAGCTGTCAAAATATTTTTGGAATTCAAAATTATGAATGAAAAAATTTTCAAATTGATTAAATTTGTTGAAAAACTCAAATCATAACGACCTTTAACGGCGAAAGTATTAAAAACTTCAATTTAATATTTGTAGAAATTTTTAAATATTTTGGATACATCAATGTTCATAATTGGCGATACCTATTTGGCTACCTACCTATATTCTTCTACCCATGGCAAAACAATAAAGATAAACTCATTTGCTAAATTTAATATGGCAACCCTCCTTTTCTGACGAACTCGACGTTGTCGTTTTTTAATGAAATCTATTATCCTATCTAAAATATTTTCGTATGACGAGTGGCAGATTTTACAAGAATAATGAATAATCTTTTATTTTCGGCATTCCTTTTCACATAAAAATATATAGGTTCCATATCTAAGGAATACTAACTTTATTTATCTGTTCTTGGATTTAAACATATAAAGAGAAAGATTTCAACCTCTTCATATTAAGGAACGTTTTTTGGTGATGTTAGTTCTTGTACAGGCCTCGAATGACGTTTTATTTTAGGTCTGCCTTTAATATGTCTTTATACTTGTCCTTGGCGAACCCAAATTCAGTCATTCCATGACTTTTATAACCTTTAAAAGGAGTGAAAGTAAAAAGTACTTGTTCGAAAGTAAATGTAAATTTCTAACTAGCGTTACGCACATACTTAAGGAAGAACTATAAAGTTTACATTTGACAATGAAGGGGCAAAAAATAAAAAATAAATGGAATCGTATGATAGCATGATGCTAGGAACACAATTGGAGCGAACGACGAATTTTTTCGCGGCGTATGTTCGTCGTAAAAAATAAAAACCATATGTGTATATGGAAGTGCACACAATCACGGCGCCGGCGAAAATTTCGTCGGTCGCCGCGAACTCAATTAGCTTTATTTCTATTTCATACGCCGGCGAACGGCGACAAAACAGTACAAGGTGGCCATACTTGTACGAATTTTATGTGTTTTAGTAAATAAAGTTACTTTTTACTTAAAAATTTGTTATGGTCACTCTACTATCTGTTATTCGTATAAAAAAAAAACATAAATAATTTGTTTATTTATTTGTGCACTTGCGCCTGAGTGAAGATGGATATCAGTGAATTTATAATAGAAAAGATGGACATAACTGAAATTATAAAGAATTATGAGTTCTTGTATAATTTTCATTGTAGTCAACAAATGAGCAAAAAGTAAACAACTTCATCAGCTGTTTTATAATTTCGTCGGTATTGTGTTCCATACGACGAATTTTCGCGGCTCATTTTGTCGCCGCGTAGGGCGAAATTCGTCGTTCGCTCCAATTGTGTTCCTAACATGACCTGGTAATTGTACAATGGATACACCTTAGGAGGATATAAATGTTTTATTCCCTGGAACGTTTTTTAATTTTGTATTTGCAGTTGCATCAACGATTGGGAACATTGATATGTCAAAAATATTTAAACGTTCTTTCAAATACAAGTAGATTTTTATATATATTTTCTTATGCGTCGTCATTCGGAGGTTATTATAATTCGCATTTTCAACCATTTTTGCAAATTTAAATAATTTCTCATTCAACATTTTCAATTCCAAAATTGGTTTGACAGTTCAGTGTCCCAGCAGCTGTGTCGATGCGACTACCTATATTCTTCTACCATGAACATAACGTATGTCAAATTCATTGTAATTTCTCAATTATCAGCGTTATCCCTGACAATGATTTGTATTTAAATGTATTCTTCCATTTTAAATTTAAAATGAAAAAACAACGCTTAAAAACAAGACAAGGCAAGAGGGAAGAACTACATTTTAAAAATAATTCAATTATATGATAGTTTGAACCTGTTTGTTGTAGGGATATGTAAGTCGACTTTCGATTAATTGACTTTAGGATTTTAAATCACGTTTACATACAAAATCTACACCCGGTCTATCACGGTTAACGGGTTTACTAATTGTTTTTACCTTTGTTAACCGCAAAAAATGAATAATCACAAAAAATGCAAAGTCAAATTTATTGTGATTGGTCAATTATCAGGTTTAATCAGGATACAAATTTGTATGTAAAATTTAATGCAAGTTTACATAGTAAAATTCATTGAAATTTTTCAAAAATTCTAACTGGGTACATTTTGTACGTCAACTTGCCCTAGTGATCATAGTTTCTTTGAAAAAGTTTTTTGTAGGGATGTGTAAGTCGACTTTTTATTATATATCATTATTACGTTTAAATATCAATCAAAAATCTTAACTCGACTTTGTTTTGAAAAACCCAAATCTAAAATCGATTTCGAGAATATTATCATATTAAATTAAAATGTTTAACTAAATTAAATCTTTTTTCCGCCGATTTTTAGATTTTCCAACGCATCAAGGACGAAAGACCCGAAGTTTTGAAAAAGGTCACCATGTTCAATGGTGACATTACCCTCGAAATGTTGGGTCTATCCGAAGAAAACTTGAAACATGTTACCGAGAATACCAATATCGTTTTCCACATGGCTGCCACTTTGAAACTGGAAGGTAATCTTACCGATGCCGTCAACATGAACTTGGCCGGTACACGTCGTGCCATTGATGTTGCTCGTAAAATGAAAAATCTTGAAGCTTTCGTACATCTGTCGACGGCCTTCTGCAACTGCGATCAGGAAGTTATGTACGAAAAGGTCTATGATTTCCCACACAAACCTGAAGAATTGATGCGTATCGCCGAATGGATGGATGTGCCCACATTGGATGCTGTAACACCGAAATTGTTGCCACCTCACCCCAACACCTATACGTATACGAAACGTTTGGCTGAACTTTATGTTCGTGATCAATATGAAACAATGCCCGTGATTATTGCCCGTCCCAGTATCGGTAAGTCCAAAGATAATTTATTCTTGGGTTTAATTTTAAGGCTAACCGGAAAAAAGAAAGCTAAATAAAAAAACAAGGGAGGTTATTTGGTTTTGCTAGCTTTAAGACTTGCGGCTTTTTAGGTTATAAGAAAATGAAAGCGAGAAATTAATTCCCTTTTGCACTTTGGTGGTCCATTGCTTTAATATGTCGCGGTGCAGTTATGTGAAATAAAAAATAAAATGAACCAGAAAACCTGCTTTTACCACATAAGATTGCCATGCTAAAAATTATTTTAATCCCAAACATATTTTGTGTTGCTTTAGCAAGATTTTGTAGCGCGGAATACGTTTTCTTAAGAAAGCTCTGAATAGTCGAAAGGATGCGCATAGTCAAAATTTCTTACTGGGAAATTAAGGTGAGAATACATAAAACGCTTTTTGGCTTCCTCACAAAAGAACAAAGGAGTATTAGGTTGACTTAGTTCGATTTTGACCAAACGCTTCTTTGTTCTTTTACGAAGATGCCAGCCAATGACTTACGTTAGTCAAAAAAGCGTTTTATGTATTCTCACCTTTAGAAATCATCTAATATTCTTTAGAACAAATTTTGAAGGAATTTTTTGATACGGATAATTAAATTTTCCTAGAAGAAGAAATCGATGCTTTACATAAAAACCTAAGGGTGGGAATACATAAAGGGCATATTTGGCTGGCTTAAGTCATCGGCTGGCTTCTTCGTAGAGGAACAAAGGAGTTTTAGGTTGACTTAGTTCGATTTTGGCTTTTGTTCATTTCCGAGGAAGCCAGCCAGATGACTTAAGCCAGCCAGATAAGCGTTTTATGTATTCCCACCTTAAAAATACATTTCAAACACACTTTTTAAAATATTTCTGAAAATGCCTGATATGCCTTTTTACCCAACATTACCAACAATCCTCGTTTATACAGCTCTGTCCTGTTTACAAACGCTTAATGATGTGCTTGTGATTCTTTGTTCTTTTTCTCTTCTATGCTGACATAAAAGCTAATTTTATATTCCGAAAGCTTTCATAAAGCTTTGAAGAATTGATCTGTACCATACACATAACGTGAATTATCCCCCAATGCTTAACCTATGAAAGCTCAAGGCTTTGATAAAAAAAAAAAAAACAATTCCAGTAAAAAATCAAGATTGTCAACTATTTAACAACCAAAACCAACCAAATGCTTGCCCAAAAACAGATTTAAGTCTTTCCCTCAGCCTAATATCCCGCTGGGATTACCTAAAAGCTTGCCAAGAAAACTGAACACAATGAAAACGTTTCGAGCTTTTTCTACCATGCCTGCTTATTGTCAAAATGACTGTGAAAGGATTCAAAATTCCCAAAAGCTAAATGTAAGTGTCCATTAAAATGAAAAAAAAAGAAAAATGTCCTAATGTGCCCGGCCAACACTACCCACACGCTTCTCCCTGCTTTTGTCAAATGAAATTTGAAAATAACATAAATTTGTTCTTCAATCAGTCTTACCATCGGCCTTTGAGCCGCTCAATGGGTGGGTAGACAATCTAAATGGCCCAGTTGGTCTTATGGTGGGCGCCGGCAAAGGTGTCATACGCTCCATGCTCATCGATAGACGCCACAAATCGGAAGCCATACCTGTTGATTATGCCATCAATGGACTGGCTGTTATACCCTATGAATTTTGTACAAAACCAAGGTAAAGAATAAAGGGAGAAATCAACGTTTGTGTTCAAGCAAAGTTATTTCTTTTAGACCCCAAGAGGTGCCCGTCTATAACATAACCTGTGCCGAACGCCGTAAAGTGCCCTGGGGCGATGTTATTGATTTGAGTAAAAAAATCGGCTATCAATATCCCATGGAAACTGGCCTCTGGTATCCGGATGGTACCATAACCACCAGCCGCTTTTTACATCAGTTAAATGTTATACTCTTCCATTGGTTGCCGGCATATTTTATCGATTTTATATTGTTCTTATTGGGTCAAAAGCGTTTGTAAGTTTTTCTTTCCGGCTTTCTGTTTGGGAGATTTTTTTCATATATTCAAATCATTTTTCCAGTATGATACGTGTCCAGCAGCGTGTTCAAATCGGCTTAAAAGTTTTGCAATTCTTTACCATGCGCGCATGGGTTTTCAAATCGCCACGTTATGAAGCCTTGTGGGAGAATCTAAACGATCAGGATAAATTAATGTAAGAGTGGTGATGTTCTTTTTGCGGATTTTCCTGATTTTTGTGGAACTTTGAACCATTAAACATTGACAGTTTTTTTTGATACTTGTCTTTTCGGTATAAATTGCTTTAATACATTGCAACAGTTCAAGTAAATTCCCTTAAATGCTTATAATTCACATTCAATATTAAATGCATGAAATCAATGTTTCATCAGACGGCCTAAAAAATTTTACTCTTGGGTTGTAGCATGTGAACTCTCCTCATTATCGATTCAGCATAAAGTGGAGTACCCAACATCAGTTGGTTGTTGGCAGATGAAATTTCATTTAATTTTAATGTTTGAGTGTTTTAAACATAAGTTTTGCTCATGGTTCATGGATACATGGAATTACAGCCCTGAGGCTATACCCACTTCATGTCAGAATTATTAAAAATTATAGGTAACAAGTTGTTTTCATTTATTTGATATTTTTTTAAAAAAGCCTGGATATTCTCTCAAAAAAGTTGATGCTAAGTGTTTAATCTTTCAATTCCATGGCATATCTGGCTAATATTATTAATGCGCGCCCCGCAATTTAAGTTTCTTTCAATCATTGATTTTGAAAATATTTTGTATTTATTTTTTAAAATAACAAATACATACACAAAATTGACAGAACTCGGCCACACTTAGAAAAAAATTGTAATCAGTTGGGAGCTCTACCTTAGGTAGATGCATCAGTGCTTGGGAACATTAATATGTCAAAATTTACAAATTTTTAAATAATTTTTCATTCAAAATTGGTTTGACATTTCATTGTCTCAGCAGCCGTGTCGATGCGACTACCCATATTCTTCTACTTTGAATTTAAGAGAGTGCAAATACATATCGTGTTCTCTCCCACATCTTTTCTACCTGGACAAGCTTGGTCAAGTAAATAGTAATGATTACCAGCTGTTGAAGAATTCCCAACAACGATTGTCATTTTTACCGGGTTTTCGACTTCTTATTTTCAGGGCAAAATAGTTGTAGTAATGCCCAGTCGTTAAGCTGATTATTGCACTCGTAATGAAATATAAATACCACCTACAAAATCGCATTTTATATTTCCATAGTTAACTGGTTCCTTTTGGTGAACAGCCCATTTGAACTTTATTTTAGATCATTACGAAAGTTTACTTTTCATCAAATTTTAAGTATCGTGAGCTTTAGTTTCCGTTTGCTGAAAAACAACATTCATATTGGCAATGCGAAAATGATGCCAACCACCTGAAATGCGAGTTTTTATTTTCAATTTAAAGTTAATTTAAAAATTAAAGAACAAAGTTCCACAAAGTTCAGATTTAATTACGAACACCAGAGCTGCAGGCAAACTGAAGTGGTCAACAAACTGACATAATTCAGTAAATTTTTGTATTTAAAAAAAAACATACTACCAGTGATGCCTGAAGCTTGACATATGATGCCTAAAGTGGACTGAATGCAGAAAACCCCTATTCACACATGAAAGATATTCCTAAAAAATCAGTTCTTGGATGTGTGGATGAGGTCAAACAGAATAAAAGTGTTAATGCATAACACGCATGGCTGGTTTCTTCGTAGAAGAACAAAGCAGTTTAGGGTGGCTTAGTTCGATTTGTTCTTTTCCGAAGAAGCCAGCCGATGACTTAAACTAGGCAAAAAAAGCGTTTTATGTATTGCCAACTTAAGTTTTTGATTCGCCTACTTTGCCAAATCTTAAATCCCGAGCCACAGCTTTTATTTACATTTGGCAAAGCTGGCGTGGAAAAAGCTTTTATTCTGTCTCTGCTTTTAGATATCACTCTTTCTTTCATTATCATTTCAATAATTTTACAAAAAAAACCCTCTTAGTTTCAATATGAACATGGATACGGTTGAAAATTTAGAATTATATATGACAAGCTGTATACAAGGCGGTCGTCTGTATCTAATGAAAGAATCACCCGAATCTCTACCAAAAGCCAGAAGACAATTAAAAATGTAAGACACCTACCCCTTTCCCAAACCCCAAGAATTTTGAGAACTTTATTTAAAACAAATAATTTGTTTTTATAGGATGTATGTACTTGATCGAGCTTGCAAAGCTGTTATAATTTCTCTTCTCTCCTATTGGATCTACAATATATATCATAATTTAATTGCCGGCTGATTTAATGCTGATATTTTTTTTGTTTTATTTCTATTATATATTTTTATATGCAATTTTTTTTATTTAATATATATATTTTTTTAAAACGCTATATATTCATGTAACTAAAAAAATGCTTTATAACGGGTTATTGTTGTGTCGCCAAACATATTATTTTATTACAGTGTTATTAAAAATATAATAATAATTTACAAAAATTAAAAATTGTGTCCAATATAAATCGGGGTTAACTTATCGTGTTGTGTGTAATCGAAAGTAAATCACAGGAGTCTAAAATAAAAGAAAAATAACGTGTGGATAATCCCCTGAACAACTAACATGAATGGTATGTATTGCTTGAGGCAATCAAGTGTTAAAACCAAAATCTTTGAAAACACTTCCATTGACAATACACAAACCACACACGAACACACCAATGTACATTTAGATTGCAAAAATTATAAACTGTACCTACACTTTATCTCCTTTACTATCTTTTGTAGTTCTCTAGTTGTCCCCAATTTTCTCAACTCTTCAAAAACAAAACTCTTGAAACTGAACTGGAACATTTAATTTCTTCTTTTCTAAATCCTTTTCCACTCTTTGAAAAATACGAAAGAGCTATGTAAAATACATTATTTTATAATTTTATACATATTTGATTTCATGTGTGGCCAGGCCACTTGAGAAAATAGCTTTTTATAAGAAACGTGTGAA